AAAAAAAAAAAAAAAAAAAGAGATTAAAAATGGTACAACTATATAGGGAACTTACTGTGAATGGAGTTTACCAGGATTAGAAGTTATAATGGGTGTCAGCCAGTGAGTGGTGAGTGAATGTGAAGGATTAGGACATTAGTATACACTATTGTTGACTTTATAAACACCGTTCACTTAGGTTACACTAAATTATAAAAACATTTTCCTTTTTTCAATAATAAATTAACCTTAGCTTACTATAACTATTTTACTTTATAAACTTTAAAAATTTTTAACCTTTTTTGTCTTTTATAATAATACTTAGCTTAAAACACAAACATGTTATACAAGTGTACAAAAATATTTTCTTCATATCTTTATAAGCTTTTTTCTATTAAAAATGTTTTCACTTTTGAAACTTTTTTGCTAAAAACTAAGACATAAACACACACATTAGCCTAGGCCTGCACAGGGTCAGAACCATCAATATCACTGTCTTCCCCATCACGTCTTGTTCCACTGGAAGGTCTTCAGGAGCACTCCACATGCACAGAACATGCATGGAACAATAAACATGCATTGTTATCTCCTTTGACAATGTCTTCTGGAATACCTCCTGAAGGACCTGCTTGAGGCTATTTTACAATTCACTTTTTAAAAATAAGTAGGGAGGTATAAATAACAATAAATAGTATACTGTAAATTTTTTAAAATAAGTTTAATAACTTTAAAAAATAACTTTAGAGAGGTGTAAATATCAATAAAAAGTATAGTAAATACATACGGCAGTAACAGTTGTTTATTATTTTCTTTCTTTCTTTTTTTTTTTGAGATGGAGTCTTACTCTGTTGCCAGGTTGGAGTGCAGTCGCACAACCTCGGCTCACTGCAGCCTCCACCTCCTGGATTCAAGCGATTCTCCTGCCTCAGCCTCCCCAGTAGCTGGGACTACAGGCATATGTCACCACACCCAGCTAATGTTTTGTAGTTTAGTAGAGATAGGGTTTCACCATAGCCAGGATGGTCTCAATCTCTCGACCTCATGATCCGCCGGCCTCAGCCTCCCAAAGTGCTGGGATTATAGGCGTGAGCTGCCACACCTGGCCATTATTTTCAAGTATTATGTAGTATACACATGATCAATAATCAATAATATTACCAAATACTGTATACCCTACACAATTGTATGTGCTATACTTTTATACTACTAGGAGTGCAGTAGGGTTGTTTACACTAGCATCATCACAAACATCATAGAGTGTACTTATATCAACCTAGGTTATGTGTGTGATGCATTGTATTATGACGTTATGTTGGCTATGATGCCATTAGGTGATAGGAATTTTTTTTAGCTCCTTTGAAATCTTTTAAGACCACTGTTGTATATGTGATCTGTTGTTGGCTGAAACATAGTTATGCAGCACATGACTGTATTGTAGTACTTCAGGGAACAGATATAGGTGATCTGGACCAGAGTACTAAAAATAATGAAAAGTAGTCATGTGCTAGATATAATTTAAAGGTAGAGCTGCCGTGATTTGCTGACAAACTGAGGTAGAGTGTGAATGAGACAAGGTGACACAATATTGTTTTATGAGTAACTCAGTCATTAACTGAGAAGGGAAACAATGTGGGGAAAAACTGACTTAGAATGTAGGGAAATAGATTTCAGTTTGGAATATAGTATGTGAAATTTGAGAATGCCCATTCGACATATCAAGTCATCAGTTGGATATACAAGTATGAAGTTCAAAAGAGAGATCTAAGATCCAGGATGGAGACATATGTTTGGGAATTACCAGCATACAAATGATATTTAACACGAGACTAAAGGAGATCACTTAGAGGGTAGAATAGATAGAGCAAGGTAGAGGCAAAGGACTGATCTCTGAGTCACTCCAATGTTACAAACTCGGGGAAATAAGGAGGAAATAGCAAAAAAGACTGACAGGGACTAGCCTGAAACGTTGAAGGAGAACTAGGAGAGCATGATATTCTGGAAACCAAGAGAAGAATGTGTTTTAACAAGAATTGTGTCAAGTGCTACTGAAAGGCCACATAAAATGAGGACTGAGAAAAAAACATGGAATTTGGCAACATGAAATTCATTTATTAGGGACCCTGAAAGCAGTTTCCATGGAATTTTAGGCCAGAGAGAGAACTGGAAAAGAAAATATTGGAGATATCAAGTCTAGACGACTCTAGAAGATGTCTTTGTTTTCGTTTTTTTTCTAAATAGAAGAAGTGAAAATGGAATGGTAGCTGGAGTTAAGAGATACACAGTAGGTCTGTTTACATATTGATTGAAGTGATCCAAAGAGAGAGAAAGAAACTATGATACAGGAGAGAAAGCAGATAATATAAAAATGTGCTTAAGTAGCCAGAGCAAATCAGATCTAGTGGCAAGGTTTGCCTGAGCTTGGAGCTTGACTATAGTAATAACAGGAGAGAAGGGAGAAGTACCCAGGCACGGATACAAGTAGATGAGCAGATGTGTTGGTGAAAATTTGTGATTGCCTTAGCTTTATAGTGAAGTACCTAGCAGGAGACTCAGATGAGAGTGAGATTTGTGGAGAAGGTGCTAAGGTTTGAAAAGAGCAAGGGATGGCCGGGCGCGGTGGCTCAAGCCTGTAATCCCAGCACTTTGGGAG